CATTATGTGTCCAATAGCACTGTGTGCAATTGCAACGTGTCCAATTGTACTGTGCGCAATTGAAGGCTTCTCTTAATACTCGACATCAATAATACAGACCCGATACCTGTAGAGGACGACTACATGGTACAGGTCCACTTGCGAGATCCGTCGGTCTATGCGTACGCGCCTAGGCGATTAGCGCATGCAGAAAGGCTCCAGGTGCGCGAGATCACGGACGATTTACTGGCGCGCGGGATAATTCAGCCCAGCATATCCCCGTACTGCGCGAGAATTGTTCCTGTTAGGAAAAGAAGCGGAAAATTAAGACTATGCGTGGACTTACGTCCATTAAACAGTAGAGTCGATAGGCAAAAGTATCCCTTCCCCATAATAGAAGATTGCCTTGCAAAGCTCGGGAATAAGAAAATATTCTCGTTACTAGATTTAAAAGACGGATTCCACCAAATACGCGTACATCCCGATTCGACTCGATACTTTTCCTTTGCTACGCCCGACGGGCAATACGAGTTCAAAAGATTGCCATTCGGATACAGCGAAGCGCCGGCGGAATTCCAAAAAAGATTAAATCAAATATTAAACCCATTAATAAGGCGCGATCAAATAATACTTTTCGTTGATGATATTTTTATAGCGACGGAAACGATCGAGGAAAACTTCGATATCCTCGAGAAAACCATGGCAAAATTGCGGGAGTATGGTTTTGAGCTAAATTTTGAGAAATGTAAATTTTTAAGAGAAAGCATCGAATTTCTAGGATATTTGGTTTCGGGCAAAGGCATCTCACTAAGCTCAAGGCATACTACCGCAATAGAAAATTATAAGCGACCCGAGTCGGCGGCAGAAGTCCAAAGATTTTTAGGTTTGGTCGGTTACTTTAGAAAATTCGTGAAAGATTTTGCAATCAAAGCCAAACCGTTGCAAAATTTGTTAAAGAAAGATACCGAATTCGTTTTTGACGAAGCGTGCGCAACCGCGTTCAATAATTTAAAGCGTGAGCTAACGGCGCCGCCGGTGTTGCGCCTATACGACCCCGCGTTAGAGACAGAGTTGCACACCGACGCCTGCCGATCAGGCTTCGGAGCGATTCTACTGCAAAGAGAGAAAAATAAAGCTTGGGGCCCGATAGCTTATTTCAGCCGAACGACGAACCAAGCAGAGTCGAACTACCACAGTTACGAACTAGAAATGTTAGCCATAGTGCGCGCGATCGAAAGGTTCCACGTATACTTATACGGGAAAAAATTTAATGTCGTCACGGACTGTAATGCCCTAGTATATGCGGTCAATAAAGCCAATATAAACCCAAGAATTGCCCGCTGGACTCTCGCATTACAAATATACGACTTCAAGGTAACTCACCGGCCCGATACCCGAATGATCCACGTCGACGCGCTAAGCCGTAGCGTCGGCTATATAAATCAGCTACCCTTAGAGCAGGAACTGGAATTTCGGCAGTTAGCCGACGAGAAAATCTGCAAAATAAGCACCGAGTTAGAGTACGCGGAAAACGATAAATTCACAATAATAGACGGGTTAGTGTATAGGAAAGAAAAAGAGGAAGTTAATTTTGTAATACCCGAGTCGATGATACCGAGCATAATCCGAACGTACCACGACGAGTTAGCACATTGCGGCGCGGAGAAAACTTTAAGGGGAATCAAAGAAAACTATTGGTTTCCGAAAATGAATAGGCGAATACACGAGTACATAGAAAATTGCGTTACCTGTGTAGTGGCCAACAGCGCACCGAATCGGTTCGAGGGCGAAACGCAGCCAGCAACCGCTCCGAAGGTATCGATGGAAGCGATCCATCTGGACCATTTCGGGCCACTGAAAGAAACCAAAGAAGGACACAAACACATTCTCGTGATAATCGACGCGTTCACGAGATATACTTGGTTATTTGCGACCAAATCGACAGGTACAAAGGAGGTAATAGAGGCAATGAAAGTAATTTTTAATATGTTCGGGAAAGCCTCTCAAGTAATTTCCGATAGAGGAACAGCCTTTACGTCCTCCGAATTTGCCAATTTCGTCGCAACTCACAAGACAAAGCACCGAAAGGTAGCAGTAGCCGCCCCGTGGGCGAACGGGATGGCGGAGCGAGTAAATCGGTTCCTGAAAATCTCGTTAGTTAAACTCATCAATGACCCGGCGACTGGGGAGACAGCTTAGGAAAACTACAGTATGTGATAAATAATACGTACCACAAAAGCATTAAAGCCACCCCGTCCAAAACTTTTGCTGGGCTACGAACAGCGAAATCACTCGGACTTTCCGCTGCAACAGTACGTCAAGGCGTCAGACAGTACGTCAAGGCGTTGACAGAGACAGACTATGATCTGGAAAAAATAAGAAATAATAGTAGAGACACAGCGGAAAGGGCGAATGAGATAATTAAACAGTACAATAAGCAATATAGAGATGAGCACAGCCGTAAACCTACTAGATATAAGGTAGACGATTTTGTATTAATACGGAACACGAGGGTTAAGCCAGGGGAAAATTCAAAATTAAAACCGAGTTATAAAGGGCCATACCGTATAGCAAAAGCTTTAGGAAGCGAACGCTACGTAGTACAGGACATACCTGGATTCAACCACGGGCCCAAACCACTTGACACGATTTTGTCTTCAGATAAATTAAAACCCTGGATTAAGCCGATTCCAGTACCGGACAACATAATAAATGTAAACGAAAAAGACTGAAGGGACAGATGGTCCCGAATAGATGTAAGTTAGGTTAAGCAACGCGTATAGAAAATAAGATATAGTTAAGTGATAATATAGTTAAGTTGAGAATATAGTTAAGTTGATAATAGAATTAAGTTAATAATAGTTAAGTTGATAATATAGTTAAGCTGATAATATAGGTTAAGTTGAGAAATATAAAATAAATACTTACCAGTTAGTTGCTAACCGTAGCTTTGAGACAAAGCTAAAGGTCAGTATGGCCGAGCTGAAAGGGTCACTAAAAATCAGACGCTCCTGAGTACCAACCGACGGACTGCGCGAACGATATACGCGCAGGGCTACACGCTGTCACCACGCGCTATCGGCGTGACAGCAAGACCGGCAGGTTTCGGCGCGAATCGCAAGCCGCACTATTTGTCGAGACCTGCCCGGAGTAAGAACCGCGTCAGGGAGAGTCGCGTCGTATAACAAGTGTAAAGTACTCTGTACATTCGAACCTCTTATGGTAGTGTAAAATAAAGTTCATTTATGTAGTGTAGTTAGTCGTGTCGAAATACATAACTGTCGTGCCCGAATCTCATCCTAAGCCGACGAGCCTCATACATATACACATTAAACTTCTTTCATAAGCCAGGTTCCACAAGACTGGTCCCAAAATCGAGCCCTGCGGGACCCCGGCCTCCACTGACCTTTCAATTCTTCTACCATACCTATCCGTGTAAATTACGGACCTATCCGACAAATACGCGTGCATTATCCTTCGTATATATTTGGGAAACTTTTTCCTTTTTAATGCCTCCTTAATGGTCTTCCATGGGAGCGAGTTGAAGGCGTTTCTGATGTCTAGTGAAACCGCCATGGCTGCCTCGCCCCGTGCGGTAGCTTCCTGTATAGTCTCCTTAACGGCGAGTATGGCGTCGGTCGTGGATTTCGCCCTACGGAAGCCGAACTGGTTATCTGAGAGATTGGCACTCCCGCGATCCTGGATAAAAGTCTGTATACGATCCACCAGTACTTTCTCAAAGATTTTAGATACGTCGTTCAGAAGACAGATAGTGTTGATAGTTAGTTTACAGCGCTTCCAATAGAAAGGAAACATATAGCGGGCAATGCGAGCGCGCTGTTGCTCGTCGGACGCGCGGAGATGCGTGTGTGTGTGTGTGTGGATGGATGAGAGTGTCGCGTATTAGTGTATAGAATAGTCCAGAACTTTCGAAAGCGCCACCGCTCATGCGCAGCTTTTCGAGCTTTCCGGTATAGACGTGCGCGTCTTCACTTGTGTCGCGACCGCCGTGCAATACACAGCTCTGTATCGTTTGCTCATAAGTAAAGTAGCCTAAGTGATTGCAACTCGTCTATCGGTTCTTTTACCTGGCCCAAGAATAAACGCGCGTCCTAATCTTTTGTCTCACACGAGCAGTGGAGACGAAGGATTAGGCTCAACAGATAGATCTAGCCTTCACCGGCCGTCCCACCTCGACTTTCCCTTTCGGTATCAGCACTAGGCTAGCTCTTTTTCACGGCCTTGGAAATACGCCGTTTTTTAAACAGGAACCGTAAAGCACACGGCCATTTTGTTTAAGAGGCATGGCGGAGCCCTCTTCCAAAAGCGAACAGATATCCCGTCCGGGCCCGGTGCTGAATTAGTTTTCTTTCTCGATCGAACCGCGTTTAAAACTTCCGCCGGTGTAACCGCCATGCATTCCTCCCACCGATAGCCCACGGCGTGCCAGTCTATGATCTGCGGTGGCCTCGCCTGGGGGGACAGGGAGTCCAGTAAAGGATTCATATCCGTGCTACTAAGAGTATGTGTAAGGCTAGTGTCTGCCTTCTTCAACTTCTTGAGGACCACCTTGTATGGTAGACCCCATGGATTTCTATCGATGCTGGCAATCAGGTCCGCCCAGGCTCGATTCTTGGCCTTGCCAATCTCTTTTCTAAGGCGATCTCTCGCTTCACGATAGGCTCTTGCTGATTCCGGTTCCATTTGGTTGTCTCCTCTTCTCCTAGCACGGGTCCACAATCTGCGAATACGTATACATTCTTTCCTGAGTGTGTCAATATCCTCATTCCACCAGTGAACAAATCTCTTTTCTATTCGTTTTGAAACCCTGGGGGCAGCTGCGTCGCACGCCTCCGTCATGATTCTGCGGAGCCATTGTGCCGGCCCATCAGACGACTCAAGAGTCTCCGGTGTCGGTCCAACGGCACAGCTCCACTCGATCGCCTGTTCAAAGGTTTCTTGGTCCAATTTATCAAACCTCCAGTGCACTCTCGGGATTGATCTCTGATACCGGTTGTAGTTCTTAGACCTAACCGAGAAACTAATGTAGAGATGGTCAGATAGCGTCTCAGTTTCTTTAAGGACCTTCCACCCCTCAATCATATTCACTAGACTTGGCGTAGTCCAGGTCAAGTCAACTACCGATGTGCCCGTATGTCTGACGCACGTGGGCACGTTTCCAGTGTTGACGAGGCACACGGCGTGCGAGCAAGGCACGTGGCGAAGTCGTGCTTCTCTGAGTGATCACGAAATCGGGGCAAGAGTTTGTGGAGAGAGGTCTGAGGACAGAATATCGAGTGGCGAGGTGTGTCGAGCGAATATTCTGTAGTTCCGGGAGTCTCACGTGTGCGCGAAAAGACTAACAATTCGGAAATGCCGGACGATAACCTAGTGCGATCCGTGAAGCGGTTCGACAGCAAGAATTATCAGGCGTGGAAATTCCAGATCACCGCCGTATTAATGGCGAACGAGATCTTCGACGTAGTCGACGGAACGAGACAAAGACCCCAGAACATCCCCCAGAATGCGGAAGCGACGAAAACGTGGGTGAAGGATAACGCCAAGGCAACGGCGATTATTGCATCAGCGATGGAAGACGAGCAAGTGAATAGTGTGCTTGTCTGTACCACAGCATTCGAGATGTGGAAGAAGCTGATGACTCTGCACGAGCAAAAATCGGCCTCAAATGTGGGTGTATTAACGCAGCGGTTTTACGCATATACAATGCACACGTCGGACTCAGTGATCCAGCACGTGAGTGCCATACAGAATATGGCTAGACAGTTGCGGGATCTAGGCGAGCCGATATCGGAGGCAGCGGTAATTGCTAAGATTTTGTCGAGCTTAACGACAAAATTTAATGTCTTCAAGACAGCGTGGGATAGTGTCGATCCCGAGCGTCAAACGATTGCGAATTTGTTGGAGCGGCTGATACGCGAAGATTCGAATTTCGAAAAAGACGATGACTCGACGAGCGCGCTAACGGTCACAAAGAAAGCGAATGCCAAGGGCAACGACAAGGACAAGAAGAAGAAGAGGCCAAAGAAAAGCATAGAGTGTTACCGGTGTCAGGAGCGAGGGCATTACGCTAGTCAATGTGATAAACAGAAGAAAGAAGACAAAGGCAAAGGTCAGTCGAGTAACAGTTGCGCGTTTACATTAGACACAAGGCGAAAACACGGCGAGACAGGTGCGGCGAGCAGTAGATGGCAGCAACAACCGTCGGTCGAGCAGTTGAGGCAGCTAAGAGAAGCCGATAAGAGAGATGTCTGGATCACCGACAGTGGTGCTTCGGAACATGTGATGCCCATTCTACACCTAGGGATGATCCTACTTTTACCACATCCGATACCCTTCTATACCTAAAGCTAATCCTACTTGCAGCTTATCCGAGGGAGTAGTATAAAGTGTAAAAGGGTACACTGTAGTTGTACTTTGGTACGATTGGAAACCAACCAAAGTGTAAACCTTTTACACTTTATACTACTCCCTCGGCTAAGCTGCAAGTAGGATTAGCTTTAGGTATAGAAGGGGTATCGGATGAGCCACAAGTAGGATCATCCCTAGGTGTAGAATGGGCATGACATTCAGGCGTGACTGGATCGAGGATCTACGACCGGTAACTGGGGAGTCTGTCATGCTCGGAGACGATGGCATCTGTGAGGTAACCGGCGTCGGTAATGTACGAATAGAAAAGTTCGTATGCGGCGAATGGCAGAGCGGTGTTATCGAGAATGTTCTGTTTGTGCCACGAGTGGCCCGAAATCTGTTTTCGGTTGGAGTGTGCACAAGCAAAGGTTTTCAAGTAAATTTCAAGGGCGATGGAGTGGACCTATTGCGAGAAGGCGCTACAGTTGCCACCGGAATTAAACAAGAAAATGGCTTGTATCGGATGCTGTTCAGGAGACCGAGGGCTGAGGTCGAGGTGAACGTGACGGCGAAGGATCTCAAACTGTGGCACGAGAGGCTTGGGCACATCCATAAGAGAGCTCTGGTCGAGCTAGTGAATCGCGGGCTCGTGGATGGAGTCAACGTGAAGAATGCAGCTGAATTCTTCTGCGAAGCATGCCAGATGGGTAAGCTTCACAAACTGCCATTCAAGAAAGAGTCGAGAGAGAAGTCTAGAGTGCCAAGACAAGTAATCCACAGTGATGTCTGCGGGCCAATACCGGTAGAGTCATTAGGAGGCGCAAGGTTCTACGTGCTGTTCAAGGACGAGGCAACTGGATTCCGGTACGTCTATTTCATTCGTCATAAATCTGACGTATATGAACGCTTTCAGGAGTTCGAGAGAATGATAGCGAATAAATTTGGCCGAGCCATGCAAACCCTGCGCACGGACAACGGGAGAGAGTACCGCAACGAGAAGATGGCCAAGTATCTAAAGGACCGAGGAATTACACTGGAGACGACAGCGCCGTATACGCCCGAGCAGAACGGGAGAGCCGAGAGAGACAATCGAACGATTGTCGAAGCAGCGAGGACGATGTTGCAAGCAAAGGCTCCCGACACAGTTGTGGGCAGAAGCGACAGCTACAGCGGTTTACATGCT